GTCGATTCGTCGTGAAAAAGGAAAAAAGTAAAAAAAGAAAAGAGTTGAACGCGCGAGATGGTGACGCGTTTCAACGAGTAAACGCTCTCCAGATGATTTTCCACTCCCTCTCTCTCTCTCTCTCTCGAATCGAGTCGCTCGTTGCATCCTTTTCTCCATGATTTTCTATCGGAAGAAACTTTATTACCAGGGAACAATTACCGAAACTACAAGGCGTGAGAGAGAGAGAGAGAGAGAGAATAATTTAATGGCCTTGCCTCCGGCTTTGATTCATTAGCGATCCCGTAACAAAGCAACCTCGTTGACGAAATATTATTTCCCCTGATTATATAACTCGATGAACCGTGCATCTCGCTTCGAGGGGGAAGAAGGGATAAATGTTTCGATTTCACGAAACTGAAACGTGACGCGCCGATGTTTCCAGCTGAATCGGGTTAAAATTCTCCGGAAATTATCCGCTTGTTATTTTATCATTTATAATTATTATTCCCTTATGGATTTTATCGTCTGTGACTGCGAGTAATAATAATAATAATAACAATAACAATAATAATAATAATAATAATAATTTTCAGCTATCTTTCTTAAACTAACTCTTTTAAAGTTGCACAGGAATATTGAAAACAATTGTACGGTCGCCGATCACGGATCGGAATAGAAGAGCCGAGAGAGAGAGAGAGAAAGAGGGAGGGAGAGAGGATAAGCCGAAGCATGAGGGCCGATTCCCAGTGCTACTTCCATTAGAGTCCCAAGTTCATCGTTATGATTGAAGCCAATATAACGTAGCAACGTACACATAACATTAGTTAAGTGACGGGTGGGCGTTTTACATCCACAATATAGAGCCCAATTGCGGTGCTCTGTGATCGATGTTGGTATAAGGCCAACGGATTGGAAAGTTTACCCTGTCTGACAATGCGAACGCGAAATTGCCAACATTTGCGGAAGTTTCAAACCGGTCAATTCTACGTTGAACTTGTCACGTGTAACGTATTCGCGGCTATGAATGGCTTAACAATTTGACGCGCGAGAGCAATGAACGCGATTGAAAATAAAACAAAACTTGTCCATCCCTCGATGAAACAACGGCCGAACTATACACAACCCCCTTTATTCCAATATCCGAATATACGCGGGTTGAAAAATTTCAAAACGGAGAAAACGTAAGAAGATCCACGTTGACGAAACGAAAAAGCGAAAGTAAAGGGAAGAGAAATGATACAATGCCGCGAATAATAATAATTGTCACGCTTTTGCGCGAAATTTTGTTTGAATAATTCTTGAAACGTCGATTCGAATCCGCCAGCATCGATAAGTTACCAACTTCCTCCTCCGCTCCTCTTCCCTTCTTCCTTCCAATCTCCTCTCCGAATAACGATAAATAACGCGAATAATCGTTTATCTCGGCGAGTGTATCGTGAAAGTATATATCCACTTTCCCGATAAGGGGTCGATAATTCGCGAGAGTTTCGACATCGCGATTTAAATCACGGGGAACGAATTCGAATTCAACTTGAAGGAAATTTAACTCGAAACTCGAAACTCCACTTGTAACGATTCTTCCCTGGCGGCCGACTTCTCGGAGAAGGCTTTTTCTCAGAAAAATCAAAGCTCGCGCTTGTTCCGGGGGCTGTGAGCTTATCCCTTTGTCCAAAAAGGGAGGGGAAAGAAAAGGGACAAAAGAGAAGAAACGGAATACACGGTTAAGCGCTAACCTAGTTGGAACTGCAAATGCGTTAGTTGCATTCGCGAGCGCAGTTATATCACCGAAAGGAGAGGGAGGGGGGAATTCCAGCCAATCTCGCGTCACAACGGTTTGCCCACGATTTAAGCAACTGCCCTACTTCGTTTCTTTATATACATCCGTTACCTAGGAAACAGATTTCCGCCCTTTGAGAATTTCGCTAATGCGCCGATGTATCTCGTCGTCAAAGTCGAGCGACTTTCGTATCTCGCGACTCCTCTCCGCGGGTCGAATCCCTCCCTCCCTCCCCTTTGGTTTCGGAACACTGGTCCAGAGATAACCGGATCTCTTGGAATTCTTTCCTCCTTCGATTCCTCGAACGATCGCTACACAGATTGAAGAAGATCTCGAGCGGAGATCTTTCCGTAGGAAGATTCCTAGATTGGAAATTTGTCAATTGCGTTGCGTGTGTATCGCGATCTACTCCCATTCTTTCTCGATCTTATCCGAGTATAATTTAAACCACGCCCGTTTTTTTCGATGCATAAATTTTAAGGTAACGAGTGGACGGGCATCGAGAGGAAAAAAAAAAAAGAAGAAAAAAAATTTCGTCGTTCCTATTTAATAATCAAGCAATTTTCTGACCATCTTAATTTTGCATTTTCACGAATTCCATACGAACCTTCACTCGCCCGATAATCTTCGATCGTCTGCGAATCCAAGATATTCCAATATATGGGAACGGGAAGGAGAGAAAGAATGGAGAGTTATTCTCGATAAATATTTTTCCGCGCAATCTGGCCCGATTTCGCTCGCGTTTCCGCCGCTTATTCATCGTGGTGAAAAAATGTTGGAGGGCAAAGAGAGAGAGAGAGAGGGTGCATCGAGTCGTGTCGATAACGGAGCCAGATACGAATTACGAAGCTGTTCGACTCGGCCATTTAAATTATAGCTGCCACTTAATGCGCTCGCTACGAATAACCAGAAGCCCGAACGACTCGACAACTTCGTAGAGGCCGCGTGCCAGGAACTCGTAATTGTTTTGAATTAACGATACTTTAAGCTATACGGACGCGGCTGCTCTCCGACCGCTTATTCAACTTTTATGCTCGATTCGGAAACGGTTTCTTTCGAATATTCTTCACGCGACGGATTTTCCTTTTTTTTCTTTTCTCTTTCTTTCTCTCTCTCTCTCTCGAATTCTTCGAATTCAAGATCCCGTGTAAAAATGAACAGAAATGTCGGAATTTTTCGAATGTCTCTATCGTTTGTCGATTTTTAATTTCTCGAAAGGAGAATCGCTGTCTCCCGAACTCTCACCCTAAACAATCTCGAAAAGAACGACGGGACGATCGGAAAACTCGATTAATCAAATCTCTATCGATATTTCATTCGAGCCGAGGATATATTCGGTGTCGAGCCATTCGGTCGCGCCCGATAAAAATCGTGGCGGAAAATTGCGTGGAAACATCGGAACTGGAGTATCGATTATCGCGCGCAAGATGTCAGACGGAGTTTCGGCACATGCGAGCGTGTGCGCTCGGATCCTATGTTGCCCGTCCATTAAAAAAAAAAAAAAAAAAAAAAAAAAAAAAAAAAAAAAAAAACTCAAATCTGACCCGATTCTGGAAAACGCGACGGCCTTCCTATTGAAAACAGTTTACCCTCGCGATGAAATTCGCGATACAACGCAACGTGATTTTTATCTATCAAAGTTGAACAGGATGGCAACAGGGAAAGGAGGAGAGGAATGATCGGGTAGAGAGCGAAAAAGAAATAAAACAAAAGAGGAAAAAAGAGGAAGAGGAAGAGAGGAGGGGAAGGAAAAAAAATTCTTCTATCTTCTCTGGCGTGAAATTATTTTTTTATTAATCGAGGAGGGGGATAAAGGGTAGAAATAAAAATGGGAGAAAATCGTGGGCAACGGATATTTCGAAAACGCCGCGACTCGTCCACTGTGTTATCGATATTACATTTATCAGCGAGAGAGGTCGCATCGAACCGTCTTTCCTTTTCCACCCTCTTTTTGCATCCTCCTCTTCCTCGTTATTTTTTTTTTCTTTTAATACGCCGTATTTCCTCCTCGATGATATATGTATATTTTTGTTTCCACGAAACGAAATGAAAAGAAAAAAGGGAGGGAAAGGAGGATAGAAGATAGGTGGCGAGCTGTCACGGTACTCGAATTCGCGACAAACGAACACCGCTTGTTATTGGAATCGTATTAATCCGGAGGAGAGGCGAGACTCGTATCTTTTCCGCGATAAATTCTCGGCGGTTGGCAGAAGAAAAAAAGATTACAAATCATCCCGCGGCTCCCGTCGTGGATCTTTGCATTTTCATTGGGGCAAATCGCGATTTCCTCGTGTTTCTCTCTCTCTCTCTCTCTTTCTTCTCCCTTTCTTTCTCTTTCCCTTTTTCTCTCTCTCTCTCTCCGTTCAAAACGGGGATAAAAATCATTGGAGTTGCGCGTTGACGCTTTCCATGGAATGAAAATAGAAATGGGAGAGAAACAGAACCCTTCGATATATATTTCATCCCCGGGTTTTAATGGCGTTTCGATTAAACGTCCCCGAGAATTTGAGGCACGAGCAGCTCGCCCATTATTTTACGAGCGTGTGGATTCTTGCCTGTATAGAATTTCCGACTCGTATCGTGGAGTATGTCCTAAGAAGGAATGTCTTAAGACGATGAGAAGGGAAAAACACCCTTTTATTTCTTATTTAATCCCGTCGACATCTTTCTGCGAAATCTAACCATTTCGAACAATCAAATCTTCGAATCTTAGAGATTATTAATCACCCGTGGACTCACGTAAACGTCTCTTTTCTCGATCGATTTAATTGTCTCGAAATAATCGGGAAGAAGAATCCGGCATCAACATTACGTGACGAGAATACAATGGATGGAATTAAGATATCCTCGAAACATGGTTGGAACATCCATGGTTGTGTACCGAGAATAAAATTAAACGAAACCCGCGAGATTAGGAAACGTTTTCCCTTCCAGAGATTACATCGAAACACATCGCGATATTCGTCGCGTGATTGGGAGACGAGGAGAAATTAAAAAGAAAAAAGGAGGCGGCGCATCGAGTCATCGCGCGAGGGATGATTCCTCCCCCTTAGCGAAGAAATATCTCTGGGAAGACGGAGAACGGATTCATCCCAATTGCAGTATTTTCACGATTGGACGCGTCGATCGAGCGGATGGACCGCAGGAATCCGCGATTACGTAATCGTGGGAAGAAGGGAGCAAATATGGGCAGAGAGAGAGAGAGAGAGAGAGAGAGAGAGAGAGAGAGAGAGGGACTTACCTCGTTCAAATCGATCTCCTCTTGGGAATTCAGGTCCGGACACTTGAGGATCGAATAGTCCGCGTCGACCGAATTGTCGGCCCTCGTGACACCGGCCAGAATCAGCATCACTAAGCACCACTTCATCGTCCGCGATGTGTATATCCGTCGTTTGGAATACCTCCAAAGTCCCGTGTTCCTCTTTCCCGTCACGCGCGCGCCAAATCAATCGGCGGGGACGCTCCAGGCTAGAACATGGACGCGTTGATCGAGCGATCGTCGATCGTTTTTTTTTTTTTTCTTTCTTTTTGCTGCCCGCTCGCCTCCTCCTCCTCCTCCTCCTCCTGCTCCTCCTCCTCCTTCTCGGATCTTTCCTCGAGGATCTCGAGCCTCGAAACGAAAGGGGAGAAGCGGGTCTCGAAGGAAGGAATTGTGTTGTGTCCGGTTGAATTTCTTCGGAGCGGAGGAGGAACAACAATCGTTTTGTGATTCAGCGCGACCGGTGATTCGGTATGGCGAAAACGAAAACGAGAGGCGACATCGTAAGCCGCGTCTCCACGACTAATATTTTCCAACCGAGTCACGCAACTCCCCCCGTTTCTTCCTTCTCTCTCTCTCTCTCTCTCTCTCTCTCCTTCTCTCTCGCTCGGTCGCTCGCGCTTCTGGAACGATTTAATTGAACGCCTCGCTCATCCCCGCGCCGCTCCGTGATCGATGGCTCAACGCATCGCTTTCGATCCGCTCCTCTCTCTCTTTCTCTCTCTCTCTCTCTTCGGCGATCTTCGCGAAAACTCTTTCTTCCCGCGCACGATTCCTTTTTATCTTATGTTATCCTCAACCCTTTGGTCGAGCGGGCATCGTAAGCTCGATGGTGCTCGATGGAAGGAACGGTCGATACAGGCCCTCGATGAACTCGGTGTCACTTATCGGTAGCTCGTCAGGGTGCGCGCATTTTACGAGCGCGGGGATTCCTCTTACGAATTCCTCCGGTAGACGATCACGATAGAATCACGAAAGTTATCCGATGGGAGGAGAAGCAGGATCGTGGACGATCTTTTCTTCCGTGACATCCAAACTCTCCCTCTCTCTCTCTCTCTCTCTCTCTCTCACTCTGGATCCAAAAATTCGAAAGATCCAGCAGGATGGAGGAGAGGAGAGCGACAAGAACGCGTTCGGGAACGCACGAGAACGCACTTGAAAACACTGGGAAGAAGAAGAAGAAGAAGAAGAAGAAGAACTGCAACTGTGATTTATCGGCGCGTTGGATCGCGATACACTTGGTTGGAAAACCGATGATCTATCTAAGTGGTCCCGGTGAGCGATCGAGAGAGGAGGCAGGGATGTGCACGCGGCGCAGTCGTAGGGCACTCTGGCGTTCCCAGTCTGGTTGCTGCTCGCTTGGTCCTCGCCGCGTCCGTCCGCCCGTCCGATCGTCGCGACGCCTTCTTCGAGCGCGGAGAGGGGAGCGGGAAAATAAGAATGGACGCGAGAGGATCGGTGGATTATTTTATTGGCGGCGATCGAGGGGAAGGGAGGGGAAGGGAGAGGGGTCGTTCCTTTTTTACAACCGGCAAAAGGGAATCAATTTTTCGTGGAGAGAAACGTGGTTCGCCTCTCTCGTGTCCCGGGACGCGGAACCGATTGTTTCCGTTTTTTGCGGAAAAGAAAAAGGAACGGACGCAGGATAAAAGCGCCGGTCCACTTTCGCGGACCGGAAGTTGGGGGACCCGGTCCAAGGTTAGTCGAGGAATCGATGTTTACCGAGTTTACTCAGCAAGGGGTTTCCATTTCTTGTGTATTTTTGGAGATGGAGTGACACGAGTTGAGGAGGAAGGGGGAAGAGGAGCAGATATATATACATATATATATGAAATTGTGACTGTCCCCGTTGAAACGATGAACAGTAACTTTCTGTCCGACTTTTTCGATAAAGTATTTATATAGACTTTCTTTTTTCGCGGATAGAGGTTCCTTTGTACTTTCAGATACGAAAAGAGAACACGGATGCGACTTTTGCCGCTTTTAAACGCGTCGTTTATTAAATTCTAAAAACGAAAATCTATCTTATAAATATGTGACGTTTTATATGTGCGATAAAGTTATTGTATCGTATTAAATTGTGTTAATTAAATACGCGATATTTTTTGGTATATATCCGAGATAATAAAATTTTATTCGAAGAAACGACATTTCATATCGTATGCGCCAAACAAGTTAGGCTTCTTCGTTTTTGATAATTTTTTATAATTTTTCCCCCTTTGCTTAATTTAATGGCATAATTTAATTAGAGTAAGTGGACTTGTACTATTTTCAAAATAAATAAGTATGCGATGTCATTTACTAAACGACTTTTCGAAAATATGAGTTCATTTTTTCTTCCCAGAAAATGAAAGAAAATTTCAGCAAAGAATCGTGGATTAAACGTAAACAAATTATCAAATTTAAATGATGACAGCCATAAGTAAAATGGACACTAATTTCGCAATCCTATACTTGCGATGTTCCGATCATGGAATCATGGATCGACTGTCCCAATTAGAAATCTCTCGAAATTAGATTCGAGTATAATTACGAAAGAGCGTTTCTCGATTCTTCATTTTTCATTTATCTCGATCGATCAATTGCCATTATTCGCAAAAATTTTCAAACACTCGAAACTCGATCTAGACCGAATATCTGTCCGACATTTTTATAAAATTCTTCATTTTCCATTGATCCTTTTCATTTTCATCGCAAGAATTTCAAAAAATTGTATTTTGAGATACAGTCCCCAAGTCTGAATTTTTTCGAATTATTTTTATATAAATCGTACACGTGAGAATTTCGTGTCAACGTTGAATCGTGGGATCGAAATAATAATGCGAGATTCGAATATACGTACAAAAGCATATGAAAGCGATGGAAAACGAGACGGTAGACAGAAACTGGAGTAGCTGGAACAAAAGAGGGGGGACAACGAAAACGTAGCTTGTGCAACGCATCGACCAATGAAAACTTAATTCGTTCATTCAATCTGCCTGATGATTCGACCTGCGGGCTGATAAACCTTGGCTGACGCACTCTGCCACACATTTTATCGACGACGAAACGAATCACAACGACGAACAGGGATATATATATCCACCGAACTGGGATAAAAGAAAATTGTTAGAACGATCAATCGGCAAATGGAGATCTGGCAATTTGGCCAAATTATTTTCTAGAAAATTCTTCGAACACGATTCAATTCACGATAGCTATAAATCTTCTGGCACGAATTTATCTTTTTTTTTTTTTTTTTTCTTCTTAAATCAATCTATAGGATCTGGAATCAGACATTATTAGATCGCGTAAAAAAATCATTACTTACAATTACATTACAATATATAAAATATAATATCATCAAGGTACGATTCGTTTCCTCTATCTCGCTGGAAGAATTTCCAACTAAAAAATACTTTAACGGTGTTGTAACACATCATCCATGTAATTCCAGCTTCCTGATTAATTTACTCTTGAAAACAACAACCGTTTAGATTCGTGTAAATTAAATTACGCTACGATATCTGGCCGAATGAAACGATTAAGCAAGAATCGGTGTATCTATATACGTGTACATATATGTACATGTATCGGTATATCTGGCTTGCCAGAGATCAAATTGATGGCGGATGGTAGGCCGGAATTTAATTTTCCTGAACGCTTTTTTTTTCTTTTCTCTCTCTCTCTCTCTCTCTCTCTCTCTCTCTTCGTTGGGGTCCATTATAATTATCGTGGGCGAGTGAAGTTCGATAAATTCCGTTAAATTTGTGCCGGGGCCACAAATTGTTAGAGTTTACGCAGCCGGTGTTTCCCCGGCAAGTGTTTTTTACGCGCGTTATCGAGCAGAGAGGCGAAAAGAAGCGGACACGATAACTGTCCGACTGTATCGCAATAACGGTTTCTATCGACTCCAATTCCGCCGAGTTATTCGATCCCGCTCGAAACGGAGCGAACGTTGTTGAGAAGAAATGACGGATTAAAACTTTTTAAGACAAGACCGCGAGAAGGAAGGAAGGAAGGAAGGAAGGAAGGGGAGATGGAGGTGATTGATCCGATGGATTATTTCACACTTTTCCTCCCTCGCAATAATCAATAACAACGCTCTCTTCTCTCACTCTTCCCTAGAGCTGTATTTTAAATAAACCGCCTTTGTTAACCGCCTTCGCGTTACAGATAATTAAAATATACGTCGATAGGGGGAAGGGGGGGAGAAAGAGTGATTTAAACGTGTTTCGTTCGTGTTTCAACGCCGATCGAGTAACGAGTAAAGAAGAGACATCGACGATAAAGGTAAAGGGAACGATACGGTTCCAGAGTTTCCGCTTTTGCACGCTCCTAGCGAGGAGGATTAATTACGACGCGGCGGGGATATACCGACTGTACCGCCATTACGTGGCTCAGTTTAAAACAAAAAGGAGAGGAGAGGAGAAAGAGAGAGAGAAAAGGGAAAAAAGGAGAGACGACAGAGAGAAGGGGAGAGGAGAAACGGCGGAAAGAGAGTTGGAAAAAAAAGTGGAGTGGGCCTGGGAAAGGTTTCCAAGAGATTTACATGACGGGAAGATCGTTGCGATTACCGCTCTCAAGACCGATCCACCACCATTGAAAAATATCCGAACGCCGTATCCTGGACGCCGCCCGATACCGGCTCTCTAATTGGGAATTTAAATGCGGGACCGCGGCGGAGGACGATTACCATCTCGGTTTATTTAGCGATGAAACCATTTCTCCCCTCCTCGAAACGCGAATTTATTCCCCTTAATTTATTACAAACATTTATTTATCGGAGTTACGTTCGATTCGGTGAAATTTCATTTCAAAACGGTGGCCACGCCGGAGAAAATGCTGATTAATTCTCGTTTGCCCGACTCGTGTACTCTGTGAATCGTTGGTGCGCGCCTGAAATATGCTTTTCCCTCCTTTTTTTTTTTTTAACGAACGGCGGTTTCCGCGAAACGTTCGGGCACGTCAATCATTATAACGCCGGACACGCAAGGAGGGACTACCAGGTCCAACTTTGAAATCTTGAAAAAAAAAAAAAAAAAAAATCTGTCGATTTTTATTAAAATTCACCGCCATTTCTGCCCCAGTTTTTCCGATTTGTCCGAATCCATCGAATTATTTATCATTTCTCGTTTCCCTCGTCGCGCAATTGCGTTTTTTTTTTACTTTTTTTTTTCTCTCTCTTCCCTCCCCATCAACTCGCCACGTACCACGTACTCGTTATTACGAGTCTTTGTATTTATTTTCTTCCCTGAATTTAGCAGCGATGTTCATGCCTCAAATATTCCACATTTCAGTATATATATATATATATATATTCACAACCACAATTCGTATGAATGTAAAAAATGATTCGATAAGCAAAATTGCGACCCACTCTTACGTATCTCATAACGAGTCTCATAACGAATAGAGGTAGGTGTCTTAATCTTTCCCATTCCCTCAACGATTACACGAATTTGCATAACGATAACCGTTAAATCTCGAGACCCTTTCTCTTTTCTCTTCTTCAACTTCTTTCCCTTTCCGTCTTATTTTTCCTCTTCTTATTGTCTCTTCCATCTTTATCTTACTACGAAAGTTTCGCAATTGTTATTTTGTAGTCCTCTTTTTTTTTTTTTTTTTTATTAGCCACAATTTAAAGATAAAGATAAAATTGGCTACGTTGTTTAAATATATTTGAATAAACTACGATAAAAAAAAATTTGATCTTTGAATAGAAACGGAAATAAAAAAGGAGATAGGGGCGAAGTTTGAAAGTACAAAAGTGGAATAATGAATATTCCAGGCATCAAAAGAGCGATACAAACGGAAAGGAAAACAAAATCGTTTGGAACGGAAGAGTTTATTCGAGGAAAGAATCGAACCACGTTTCGTTTGTCCCCCGTTTCTAATGAATCTAATAATTGCCCTTACAAATCATTTTAAAAAGATTTTCAAAAGGTTTAAAAAGTTTTTGCGCGCCACAAGGGACCAATTGAAACCAATTACTCTATAAAAGAATTTACAAAGAAAAATTAACCCGTGTATAATTTCGTTTCGTTTATAAAAATGAAAATTTTCCAGCAATTATTTAATCCCTTTTTATTCAACTGTTTCACCGATAATACACCCTTCCCCTTCCGCGCTCGATTCCTATTTTCGATCGCATTTAACACGGATATTTACATTTTACATTTTGCCCCTCGAACGGCGACGCGTTCTTTCGTTTCTTCGCGAGAAGGAAAATTACAGCACGTATTTTACGCGAGCCTCAAATTCCAAATTCAAAAGAGGAATACAATTCTCTCGTAATTAGCGAGATAGAAACGCAAGTTG